CTCATTCTCTCTCTCTCAAATAAATAAATAAAATCTTTAAAAAAAAAAAAAAAAGAAAGGAATGAACCAGAACTAACTTATCAACATAGATGACTCTCCTACAATGTTGGCCAAAATAGCTAGTTGCAACAAAAGTATACATATTGTGCTGTTTATATAAAATTTTAAAACAAGCGGAACAATGCTATTTATTGCTTAAGGATATTTGCATAAATATTAAAATATAGGGAAATGCATGGCATGATAAATGCCCAGTTCTGGATTAGCTAGTTACCCCAGAGAGCTGAAGCTGGGGAGAGCAGGAGGGGGGTATGTCAATGTTGCCAATATTTTCTTCTTTAAGCTCCTTGGTGGATACATAAATGCATGTTGGCTATACATTATACTTTGTTATATATTAAATATAGAAATTTAAAAAATCAAAAATTAAAGCTGTGAGAGAGTCGTCCCAGATGAGACTGGCAAAGTGTGCAAAGGGCAGATGATGGGATGCCCTGTAGGCCATTTTAAAGTTTGGCTTTCATCTAAGGACAAAGGGGATCTGTAGAAAGATTTCAGGAAGCGTGGGAATGATCCCGTTAACATTCAGTTAACATTCAGAACGTTGACTCCTGCTATCGAGTAGAGATTGGATTTGTGGAGAGTGGTGCAGTGAGGAGAAATTTGCTGCAGCCCAAACTGTAGAGCACTTTCTCCTTAAAGTGCTATCTTCTCCTGCTTCCAGAATGTTCTTCCTTCCTCGTTCTCTTCTTCTGGCCATGCCTCTTCTTCATCCCTATCTCAAATTCCTCATCTTCCTCTGGCCCCTTTGTCCTGCTGTTTTCCAGAGTGTTTCTTTCTTTCTTTCTTTCTTTTTTTTTTTTACCCTCTTTTTGTTTTTTTACATTTAAGTCTTAGTATCATTTGTGTTCCAACTTCAGTTACCATCTCTATGCTTTTGGTTCTCAAAATTTATTTCTGCAACCCAGTTCTTTTTCCCAGCTCTAAACTGCTTACTGGATATTTTCCCTTGACCATCTCACAACAACAAAAAGATGTGCCTTTTCCTGCTGCCTTTGGGAACTTGATTAACCATATTGTGATCTATCCAGTTGTCGGATCTAGAAAACCAGGTATTATTCTAGACTCTGCTGTCTGTCACCTTTCCTCTTTAACAGGTTTTCATGTTAGGCATTAAGGGTAAGGTTTTGGTGCTGTGTGCTGTGACGTATTTAGGGACCCAGGAATGCTCAGTTACTGATGCACTAGTCACTTCGCTCCCTCCTATTCAGAAGATTTCACCACCAGCAAGGTAAGAAGCCAACTTTAGAGCATTATACCCAAGGCCCTTCTTGATCTGGCTTGTGTGGATCTTCCTTTCCTCATTTGCTGCCATTTTCCTCTCTCACCTTCTTTGCAGCTACACCAACCCACTCGAAATCCCTGAATGTGCCATATTGTTTTAGGACTCGATGCCTTAGTATATGCTGTTCCTTCTGCTTAGAATGCCTTTCCTTGCTGTATTTGTCTGGTGAACTCTTGAAGTTTTGTAAGCCAGCCCATTATAGCATTTGCCTTGTCCTAATTCCTAGTTTACTTGCCTCTTTAACCCCAGTAGACACTGAACCTCTGAGGCACAGAGAGTGACTATTCAGGTTTTTTTTTTTTTTTTTAATTAGAGAGAGAGAGTGAGCATGAGAGAGCGCATGTGGGAACGGTGGGAGGAGCAGAGGGAGAGGGAAAGAATCTTAAGCAGGCTCCACGCCCACTGTGGAGCCCGATGTGGGGCTCAATCCCATGACCCTGAGATCATGACCTGAGCCAAAATCAAGTTGGACACTTAAATGACTGAGCCACCCAGGTGCCCCTCAGTTTTTATCTTCTTGTCCTGACACATGGCAAAGGCTCTACAAGTGTGTTTAGTTAGGGTTGACTCACCCAGCAAACTTCCCCTTTCTCTTTGGGTCCCTGGGCTAGGATTGTTGGAGGTTAGTTGCAAATTACTAAAATGAACATTCCAGAGGAAAAAAAATACACTGTAAACTCTTAGAACAGATATTCTTTGTCTTCTGCAGTTTTGGTATTTTCTACTTCGCTTAGAACAACTCTGGAAGGATTTATATAAAGAACATTTTAAACAAAAGTGGTGGTGTTCTCAGTCCTGAGCCCTGATCCTTCCAGGAGCTGTCTTTATAATCTCTTTTCAGTTTCTTTTTTGTCAGTCTTCAAGTTTTCCCTCATACTGCCTTCTTTTTTTTTTTTAAACGTTTTCTATTTATTTATTCATGAGAGTCAGAGAGAGAGAGAGAGAGAGAGAGAGGCAGAGGCAGAGGCAGAGGGAGAAGCAGGCTCCCCGCTGAGCAGGGAGCCCGATGCAGGACTCGATCCCAGGACCCTGGGATCATGACCTGAGCCAAAGGCAGACGCTTAATCATCTGAGCCACCCAGGCGCCCCTTCTCATACTGCCTTCTGCTCATCTCCCAGATATGTTTAAACTTCCTTGATCCTTTAACAAGATAATAATAATAATAATAAACCTGTCTTCAACATTGCTGCTTGTTCTTCACACTCTTTCCTTATCTCTGTTCTCCTTTTCATCATTTTTAAAAAAGACAGCAATTTATGCTTGGTGCATTTGCTGGCTCATAGTCTACTCACCCCACCCACTGGAATCTGACTTTAGGCATTCCCATTAGCTGAAAGCTTTCTTTCAAAGGTATGAGTGACTTCCAGCTTCCCAGTCCAACTATGTCTCTTTAGGCATAATGCCACCCCTTCTCTCTGTAGTTTTTGACACTATCATATTGATGATCTCTTCCTTTTAAAAAAGTTTTTCCGCTCTTAGCTTCTGTATCACGGCACTCCCATAATTTCTCGTCTTTCTCTGACTCTTGCACTTCACTGGGAACCTAGGTGAGTGTCTTATGTTTGGAGTCACCATATATTTGGACATATATGATCATTTCTTTATCTGTTTACATTGATTCAACAAATACTTACTGAGTGACAGCAAAGTGCAAGGCCCTGGATGTGTAGTGGAGAGAAAATAGATGGGGTCTAACTTTCTGAAGTCCAGAGTTTCAACTTGGTTATCTATTACTGGGTAACAAATTTCCGCAAACTTAGTGACTTAAAATAAGGCTCAGTTGTTGTAGAACAGGCATCTCCCTACCCTCTGCTTCGGGGCCTCTCACAAGGCTGTAGTTGTGGTGTCTGCCAGGGCTGGGGACCCAGCAGCAGCCTCCAGTGGGCAGGGATCTGCTTCCAGGCTCACAGTGATGTTCGCAAGATTCATTTCCTTGCTGACCGGTGGGCAGATGTTCTCAGTTCCTTGCTGGGGTTTGGCAAGAGGCACCTTCAGTTCCTTTCCATGTGGGTCTCTCTGTACAAGCTTGTTTCATGGGAGCCTGCAGGGAAGAGAGGAGAGTTGACTTGCAAGGTGGAAGTGATAACCCTAGGGAATGTATTCATGGAAATGACATCCCATTCCTTGTACTGTATTCCACTGGTTAGAAGTAAGTCACAGATCCTGCGCACACTCAAGAGGAGATCACACAGGGCAAAAATGTCTGGAAGCAGAGACTCACCAGGGACCTTCTCAGAGTCCTCCTGTGAAACCTCTTACTGTTTTTCCTCCAGCAATACAGCTGTCTCAATTTCTGCTGCTCTCAAATTGAACTCATGACCCTCTCCTTGCCCAAACCTCTTCTCGTCCTGTATTCTCTGACCTGCTCGGCAGCCTCGTATCTGTCCAGTCGTCTTCTCTAGAAACCCAGAGATTGGGGCGCCTGGGTGGCTCCGTTGGTTGAGCGTCTGACTCTTGGTTTGGGCTCAGGTCATGGTCTCAGGGTCGTGGGACCGAGCGGCCGCTCCACGGTCAGCCCAGAGTCTGCTCGAGATTCTCTCTCCCTCTTCCTGTCCCCACCCTGTGCCCACTTGTGCTCTCTCTCCCTCTCTTTCTCAAATAAATAAAAAAAAAATTAAAAAAAAGAAAGAAACCCAGAGATCATTTTCAACACTTCCCCCTGAGGTTTAACAGGCTGCTGGGTTCTGTACATTCTGCCCCTGTGGCACCTTCCATGGCATTCTCTGCTTTCCACTTGCTGACATGGCTTTCGTTGGTTGTTCAGGGGCCTCTTTTTTTTTTAAATGCCAAAAGGCAGAATCTGGGTCTTATTCTTCTACAGTCCAAAGTGCCAGCCTCTAGAGCAGTGATTCAGAGTCTTGGCTGCACATTGGAATCACCTAGCGAGCTTGGAACATCACCGATGCCTGGAACCCACTGCTAGGGATAATGATGCAGTGGGTCCGGGTGCCGCTGAACGTTGGCGTTCATAATCTTCCTGGTTCACGGGCGCCTGGGTGGCTCAGTCGGTCAGTGTCGGACTCTTGAGTTCGACTCAGGTCGTGATCTCAGGGTCGTGGGATGGAACCCGCATCCGGCTCTGCGCTCAGTGGGGCGTCTGCTTGAGAGTCTCTCTCTGCCCCTCCCCCCACTCATGTACACATGCTCTTTCTCTCTCTCTCTCAAATAAATAAAAAATAAAACCTTTAAAAAGTCTCCAAGATTCAAACATGGAGGCAACCTTGAAAGCCATTGCTTCTGGTTGAAGAAATCAAGTCTCTGGACGAGTGAAAGGTTGAGAAAATGGTAAACATTTAATGCGTAGGAAGAATTTAAAACTGAAGTTAAAGTTGTGTTTAAAAAAACCACACACACTTCAAATAGTATATGACAAAGCTTAGTAATCAAAACGATCTCTATATGGTCAGGGAAGTGGGGGATATGTCTTTTTGTGGGAATGAGGGGGAAAATCAGAAATGTGAAGGAGTATAGTCTCTCAAAATACAAAACTTCAATTCTTGTGCATGTAAAGTAAGCGATAAAATGAAATAAAGAACCACCTAGAATAATTAGAATATTTCTTTGTGTTGAGCCTCTGTGTGTGTGTGTGTGTGTGTGTGTGTGTGTGTAAGGAATAACTTGCGAGTTGTTCTGATCTTCTCCTTTATTTTCCAGGCATATCTTGAAGACAGTTGCCCTGGGTCAGATGCTGTCCTTGTGTATATGTGGGACAGCCATCACCAGCCAGTACCTGGCAGAAAAATACAAAGTGACCACCCCCATGCTTCAGAGCTTTATCAACTATTGCCTGCTGTTTCTATTTTATACAGTGATGCTGACATTTCAATCAGGTAGGTCAAATGTGAGGATGACCTTTTCGACAAATTATCTTCATAAAAATGTTTGGCTTCTGGATATTAAAAAAATAAAATGTGAGGTAAAACCAAGAATGGGAAACTATTTTACATAGAAGTTATTGGAAAACTGTGACACCCCTGAATGCTATGAAAATTTATGGAGATTTATGTATAATTCTCAGAAATTGTTGATTAAAACAGGGAGCGCCAAACTGTCCCACCAGAAGTTGCCAAAAAATAAAGAAAGTGCTGGGGTGCCTGGCTGGCTCAGCATGGGACTCTTGACCTTGGGGTCATGAGTTCGAGCCCCATTTTGGGGGTAGAGATTGCTTTAAAAAAATAAAATTGAAAAACAAAAATATTAAAAGTGTAAACGTCATTACGAGTTAGGTTTTATTTTTTTTTCCCGTGGTTGATAAATTTAAGAGACAGTATTAAAAACCCTTAAAAAGAGCCTCACTTTCCAAAATATATATTTCCCCTCAAGTGGAGAACATTAAATGGAGCACTGGTTACATGTAGATCAAGTCTGTGTCGTGAGAGAGACAAAAGGCAAGGGATTGGCAAGGAATTAACATCTTTATCACTGGCTGTTTTTTTTTTTTAAGATTTATTTATTTATTATATATATAGAGAAAGCGTGTGCATGCAAGCAGGGGGAGGGGCAGAGGGAGAGAATCTCAAGCAGACTCCCTGCTGAATGTGGAGCCCAATGTGGGGCTTGATCTCACGACCCTGAGATCACAACATGAGCTGGAACAAAGGGTCGGAGGCTTAACTGACTGAGCCACCCAGACGCCTGGGTGAAGTTGTTTTAGAATCATAGAAATATGATTTGTAGCTAGCTACACAGAAAATGGGAAGAGCTAGATTCTGGCTGACATTTTTGTGCTAGGCATCATTTTAATTGCTTAACTCACTTTGGTGATGTGTTACCTCACTGAATCCTCCCAATGAAGCAGTTGGGTATTACTGTTACCCCCACTTTGCAGTTGGGGAAACTGAGGCGTGCAACACGTAGGTAACGGGCCGTGAGTCTTGTAGGTAGGAATTGGTGGAGACAGATTCCAACTCAGCCAGCCTGCCCCCGAGCTCATGCTCTCGGCGCCACCCCGCATTAGGGGCTGCTAGTCATGACAGACGTCCTTCCCACAAGAGGAGAGCATGACTTTTAAAAAACAAATGAAATGAGATTGAACTCAGAAAGGTGAGGACTATGGGTAACCCAGACTGATTGGGAGGGGGCAATACTTCCATTTTCATCGTTTTGAGCTTCATAATGAAATCAGTGGTGTTTGCAAATCCTCATGTAATATGAACCTTAATGCCCAATGGTATCTGGTGTTGGGATAAGTGACTTGTTTTTGAAAGAAGGTGGAAACCAGTTGTGGGAGAGGGGAAAACGTCTTAAGTGGAAAGTACCAAATTTGGTAAGAACTTTAGTAGGAGTTGGAAATGGAATTGGGTACATGGTTAATAGCTCTGGATGCTTCTTTGTAAACATCAGCCTTTAGGAAGTCAGTGTGACTCATAAGTACATCAGTGAGGTCCCCCCGAAGGATGGTTGGTGGGTGCCTGCCATGCTCTGTCAGATGTTGAGGAAGACTAACTTTGTGTTTTCAGGGTGTTCCTCCTAATTGGGTTTTAATGATAATTATTTGGTTATGATTCTCACTTGCAGGTTATTTTTACCATAAAGCCTTCTCATATATGTGCTAATTATGTATCTCCTGTCTACTAGATTCTCTAAAGAAGTGAATTGCAGTTAACTTGAATAAGTAGAATTTGGGGGATAAAAGGTTTTTCTTCAGTGCTGCCACCAAATCTTTTTTTCAGACTTATCACTGAGTTAATTTTGTCTTGAAAGCACATTTCTTCCAAAAGAATGACCACGTGCAGAGGTTAAATAATCATTGGATTCATAAGAGAACATTTGATTGTCATAGGATAATCTGTAGCTTGTCAGGAATGGCAGCATCCAAACCCATACCTGGTTATTATATTTCTGTTACAGTAGGAAATGAAATTTAACCACTTTCTCCTACTTACTTCCTCTCTGGTGTATACTTTAAACCCTTGGTCTATGCTGACATCTTAGCTTGGGTTTCATAATAGAAAAAAATCTGACACTTGCTGAGCTATTGTAGGCATTTTGGTTCTGAGTAATGGAAATTAGGAGGGACCACATTCAAAAGAGAAAGTAAACCTTTGCTTTGACTCCTTAATCTCTAAATTGATATGCCTAGCACCAGGTAACATGTACCAACCCAGATTTCTTTGAACCAGGGAGCGATAACCTTTTATCCATCTTGAAGAGAAAATGGTGGAAGTATGTCCTCCTTGGGTTAGCAGACGTGGAAGCTAATTACCTGATCGTCCGAGCGTACCAGTACACCACTCTAACCAGTGTCCAGGTAAGGGGGCCTCCTCTCGCCTGTGTGGATTTTTCAGCTTCCAGAGAAGAATCTGAGCCCATATGTGCTAACCAAATTTTATGGAAAAGCTGTTCACTGGCAGAAAACCTAAATACAGGTGGATGCTATCTGTTTCTTCTTGGAGCATATGTGCTAATGAGTAAAATTTCCTGGAATCGGTGAAAATGTATACACGTTAATCAGTTCCCAAACTGCCAATGTTGTTACAGAATAGAATAGTTGCTACCAAAATAAGCATAAATATTTAGTTGGCAATTGATGTTGTGATGTTGACAAGAGTTCTTTTTTAAGTTTGTTTAAAGATGGCATATAAAGTGAATATACTTTGGGCACGTTCTGCATGGAGCACTGGGTGTTATGAACAAACAATGAATCATGGAACAGTACACCAAAACAAATTATGTAATATATGGTGATTAACATAACAATAAAAAAATTAAAAAAAAATAAAGTGAATATACTTTTGTGCTACAGAAAAGTTGGAGGTTTGCTAATAAAGTAGATATTCAAGACAAAAGGAACCGTTGGAGTCACTGGAAAGAACCTTGTAGACATCTGGGGTAGAGATTAAGCACCTTGGGTGGCCAGAGGTAAAACTGGTATCATTATTCCTCTTTTAGGGTTATTGTTGCTGGATTGAAAGAAAAATGTTCCTGCAGAACAGTACTTTTTAACCAGGTTTTGAGGATGACTGATCAGTTGTCTTGATGTTAGCGAACTGTGGGCTGTATCATGATGTGACTCACCACTGCTAACAACAAACTGTTTCATGAAGGAAAGTGAAAGTGAGAGACCTCGATGCCAGGTTTAGTCTTCACAGTTTAATAAATTTGTAACTTTCTTTTAAAGATTTTTATTTATTTATTTGAGAGAGAGAGTGAGAGAGAAAGACAACATGAGCTGGGGTGAGGAGCAGAGGGAGAGGCAGACTCCCCGCGGAGCAGGGAGCCCGATGCGGGGCTCGATCCCAGGACCCTGGGATCATGACCTGAGCTGAAGGCAGACCCTTCACTGACTGAGCCAGCCAGGCGCCCTGAAATTTGTAATTTTTTGATGCATCAGTTTTCTCACTATATAAAACAGAGGTGTCCTTATTTCATCTCTGGAAGAATTAAAGTGTAATTAGACTTACTTCACTTGGAAGACATAAAGACTGATGACAATTCAGTACTTTTCCAATGTGAATATACATTAAATGCTATTATCTGAATGCCTCATATTAAATATTTTCTCTTCTGTAACATCGCGCTAATCATGCTAAGCATTGTCTTCAGCAGACCTTTGGTTTGGGGAAATATGGGTTAAGACAGATATCACAGGAGGTACGTAGAAAACCCAGCATTCATAAAAATTAAAACCAGGAGTTAGGGGCGCCTGGGTGGCTCAGTCAGTTAAGTGTCTGCCCTCAGCTCAGGTCATGATCTCTGGGTCCTAGCATCGAGTCCCACCTTGGGCTCCCTGCTCAGCAAGGAGCCTGCTGCTCCCTCTGCCTCTCCTCCTGCTTGTGTTCTCTCTCTCTCTCTGACAAATAAACAAATAAAATCTTAAAAAAAAACTATAAAACCAGAGTTACCTAAAGGATCAAGTTCATCACAAATAGGATCAAGTGTGCTTTTAGCTATGGGTAATAAGCATATATATATGTAGAAGATGGCATTTTTCTGGTCACATTCGACCCTCCTCATACACAATTTAATTACTTGATTATAATTCACAGAAACTTTGGTTGTGGATGACCGATAATGACCAGTTTTGACTTGGTACAAGGTCTAAACCCAGCTAAGCAAAAAAAACTTACACTTGAGTCTTTGACTGAAGCTCATGCCTTAGACTATTGGAAATAATTTCTTCAATTCTAGCCTCTTAGAAAAACCCAAGCATTTGGTCATCAAAAGTTATGTGCTTCCGGTCCTCGCAAGGAGTCTATTATAAAAAGGGCATCTAGCAGCTAAAACTCCTTGCTGCAGTGGCTGGGGACTCTCCCTGGGACTCTTCCAGCTGATTCTCTACTTGAGTAAATCTGCAGTGTGGGTGGAAGGACGGAAGTTGGGCCCTGGGGGTCTCTGAACCTCCCGCTTAAGGATTCCTTCAGAGATTCTGGAATAGCAACCACATGAAGCTCATGACGTGGCCGTTGGCACCTTGGACTAGGTTTCCACCCGTGTGTCCTCCCATTTTACCCCACTTCTGTTCCTTTTCCTTCCCCACCCACAGCCAGTTTCTCCTCCATTGGGCTGCTCTGTTCTTTCTAGAACATGGTGCTGTTTGAAGCCCCTGTCCCCCGTTCTCTAAGGCTTCTTTCAATCTCACTTTCTCCTCTCTGCCCCATCTCTAATAAAGTATCTCTACTTTAGTAGAAGTCAAGGAGAAGACATCCATCACCAAGAGTACACTGTGAGGAGGAGAGTCGGTGTAGATAGGTGGCCCAGGGTGCTAGATAGCAGATGAGAAGTCATGGAACTTCATGGTAGGAAGGCGCCTGTGAGATCATGTGGTCTGATCTCTTCGTTTCATGTTGTGACGCCAAGGGCGACCGGCTGGGGAGCACGCTGCTGGTCAGTGGCGGGACTACATAGGCAGCTCCCTTAGACGGCCACTCATTGCCCACCAAAACTTGTTAAAAACAGAATAAAATTTTAAAGGGATTTTATTTATTTATTTGACAGAGAGAGAGCGCATGAGAGAGCACAAGCAGGGGGAGCGGCAGGCAGAGGGAGAAGCAGACTCCCTGCCCAGCAGGGAGCCAGATGCGGGGCTCGATCCCAGGACCTGAGGTGAAGGCGGATGCTTAACTGACGGAGCCACCCAGGCGCCCCCCAAATAGAATAAATTTAAGTTTGATTTTAAGACACACTTGAAGAAGAGGGAGTCTCCCGTGAGACTTTTGAGAAGTGACCTTTTTTTTTTTTTTTTTACTTTTTTTGTTTAAGGAACATCGTTCAGACTTTGTTAAGTCATTCGGCTGGATTCCGCCGGTGTCTTCCGGGACGGGCTGTTATCCTTTGCATCGTGTAGTGGTTTGTCATTCAGGCAGGCTCAGCAAAGCACTTAGGGGATTAGAGCTGTGGAGCTGGAATGAATAACGAGGCAAGGTGCCCGTGCCTGCGCCTGGTGCGCCGGCCCCCAGCAGTGACACCGTGGCAGAAGGCCATCAGTCAGCAGCCGTGGACGGGCTCCGACAGGCTGCGGGAGATTTAGGGGCCTGGCTTGTCCAAAACGAGACAGACACAGAGAGCATCCGAGACAAGGTTAAAAAAAGAACAGGAGGAGCAATAAAGCAGGTTCGGGACTATTAATTAGTATACAGAATATATTTTTTATCCTTGAATGCACTTCACAACATTTGTGACCTCAAGAGTCGAGGGAATAAAATCTCCATTTCCCCCCCTTTATCTTACAAGTGATTTTGAATTCGCTGAGATTTTGGCACTGCCTTTTAGCCTGACGATATTGGGGGTGGAGGAAGTATTTTCTGGACCCACGATCAGCAGGTGATGGATGAATATTCGATGAGGAGGAGCGCAAGGACTCTCTGTGAGCGAGGGTGGGGTTGGGCACTTTGTCAGGGAGATGGCATCTTTTGGCTTTGTGGCAACCTCCTTGTACTTGGTAGTGCTTATTAGCCCAGTGACACCTAAATATCTGCTGGTGTGACTGTTTATTCTATGTCCGGCTAGCCTTCCGTATGCTGCTGAGGGCTGGGCTGTGTCTCTCTTGTTCTCTACGCTCCAGCCCCCTAGGGTCTCCCCCACGTGAGGTGCGGAAGTACTGACTGAGTGAGGGGGTGCGTGAGGGAAGGCAGGACTGCCTGCTGGACTTAAGGAAAAACGCGGCTGGGAGGGTAGAGGTACAGCACAGGCTGTGAGGCAGAATCCCTGGGGTCAGCCACTGGTTCTCCCACTTCCAACTGTGGGATTTGGGGCAACTCATGCAACCTGTCTGTGCCTTGGTTTTCCTCATCCGTAGAATGGGAACTGCGGTTTCAGTCTCACAGGGTTGTGAAGATTCAACCAGTCAATCCAGGTAAAGGTAAATCCAAGTAATCCCGGGAAATCGCCGTCGAGATGCTCAGGGCGGGCAGGAATAAACGCGGACTCCGAGGATTATTTACCCATCGTATAGCTGAGGACAGAAGGCTTACGCCGTTTGTGTCTCTTTCCTTGCAGCTTCTGGACTGCTTTGGGATCCCTGTGTTGATGGCTCTCTCGTGGTTTATTCTTTATGCAAGATACAGAGTGATCCACTTCGTCGCTGTGGCTGTGTGTCTGCTGGGCGTGGGAACGATGGTCGGTGCAGACATCCTGGCAGGGAGGGAAGACAACTCCGGTGAGAGGCTGTGGTCCTTCTTCTGCTTCGCTCACGGAAAAAAAGTGTTGCTTATGTTTTCGCTTCTGTATTGCAAAGCTCTGTAGGAAAAGACAGAAAGCATGTCTTGGCTAAACTGTCTTTTAAGTTTTATTTTCAGATTTACTTCCTTCTGCTATTGGGACCCCTTCTGCCAAGTGTGCTTTGTGTCCCTGCCCGCCCACGGCCCTTGCTTCTTTTTGTCACACTAAATAGTTTTGTCTCATGGGAGAGAAGTTTCTTTAAATATCGGCAATAATCCTCTTTTGGCCCATCCATTCGGATTAGTTACTGGAAAAACTTGTAGATTCTTGGCTTTTTATCAGAAGGAAACTTCATGTCCACTGCGTGACCGACCTCTTTTTCAGTCGCTCTCTGGATGAGAACACTTGGACATTCTTTGGGCCAAAGTTCAGACAATGGATGCTATAAAATCTAAGTATGGCCTCGGAATTTCCCCAGTCTACAGGTGACTTCACTGTATCCTTGGATTGAGGGAAGATGAACTTGACTACCTAGCTTCTTTCCCTGTAGTTTTTAGTTAATTCCCTTCCATGAATTCCGTTAATTTCTTTGTCATAGAATCATTTCCTAAGGCCCTATGTTATCCATCTTCCAGTTGCGTCATCTCCCAAGGGGTCAAAATATGAAAAATCACAGTAGAATTGTGCCATAAAGTGAGAGGAGTAAGAGTCCTTGAACTTCTAGAAACCAGAGTTTCTCCTTCTGTAAACTCTTATTTAAATGAATGTGAACCAGATACACTCCTGGAAGCAAGCTAGAAAGCGTCCCGTCTTAACACTGTGTACCTCTTAAAAAAACCAAAAAACAAAACAAAAAAACAAAACAAACAAACAAAAAAACACTGTGTACCTCTTTGTGTCTTGTCTTCCTACAGGGAGTGACGTCCTGATTGGTGACATCTTGGTCCTTCTTGGGGCTTCCCTCTATGCTGTTTCTAACGTGTGTGAAGAATACATTGTGAAGAAGCTGAGCAGACAGGAGTTTTTAGGGATGGTGGGCTTATTTGGAACAATTATCAGCGGCATACAGCTGTAAGAGTCTAAAATCTCCCTTAAACAAAATAAGCACATATATGGTACATGATTACTTTCCAGCTACTAATATTCATTGTTGATTTGGCCCAGATTCCCATTGGAAATCAGTGACTTGCTAACTATTAGAAGATTCTTGAAATATCAAGAATTATGCCTCATTTTCTTATATGTACGTGATGCTTATGATTTCTGCTTACAACGTGGTAGAGGCATTACCATACAGACTTTATTTTTCAGTTATTTCCAGAAAATATGAACTCCCTATTCAAATGGAAAACATAATGTCATGTTGGCTACTACTTGAAAAGTGCCTTGAAGGGCGTCAAGCATGTTTTTGGGCTCCTTTGGGTTTCATTTGTTGTCATTTATATTAAAGATACTTATTTTTATACCCTAAGAAAAATTTAAGAAGCAATGTAATTCCTCATCTTAGCTGAAATATAGCAACTAAAATGCTTATAAACTAGTGAAAATGAGTATGTGGATCTCTCTCTGACCTCTTGTTTTAATCTTAGATTGATTGTGGAATATAAGGATATTGCCAGCATCCAGTGGGACTGGAAGATTGGTATGTACATAAAATGGTCATCCATTTTGGGGCAGTATCCTTTCCTCTAAGTGACAAAAACACACGTCGAGAAATAAATACTTCATATAAGTAGTATTTAAGCATTTTTGTAAAATCACAGAGTAATTTGGTACCCCGAGGGCTCCAGGGTTTACATTGAGTTTTCCCTGAGAACTCGTAAATGAACCTTCACGGGAGTTAATTCTTAATCTTTACCTTCAGGAATAGCTTTCCTTTACTAGGAATTCTGTGACCTTCGGTCACACTCCCTTTCAACTAGATCTGTATCACGAGTCCTCAAACCTAATGTGAAGGTTGTCTGCTTGATGTAATTTGTGAAACATTAACCCGAACATTCTGAGGGTGTATAATCACCCACCAACTTCCATTACGACTCTCACCTGATATTCTTGGGCATCTGCACAAATAAATAATGTAGAAAACAGTGGTGGAACAGTTAAGAAAGACTCCTTCAACCTTACTTAATGATGGATGGAAAGAAGTTAAAAATAGCCTATAAAATGTCATGGAAGTTCATGTGCTGTGCTTGGATAATTTAATTCAATTAAATAACTTGGATTGCCAGAGTGTGAGTGAGTGTACCTGAATGTGAGTGGGTATGAGTGGGTGTACGTTGAGTATGGAGGTGGGATTGAAGGAATGGTTGCAAAACTAAATGGTGAGCACCCACATGACCAACTCTGGCCCGAAGAGGATGGTTATACTGTGCTTTCTGAGAGCGCTGAATTTAATGACATGAGCACAAGATAACGGACCGAACAGCTACCTGCCTTTGATGACTAAAAATACTGTATTCTGAATCCAGTGACACAAATCATGTCCAACCAATGAACCAGATAAAAGCAAACAAAAGATGATGGGTGATTTTTCTTCACAGTGATTCTGCTTTTATGGACCTTTTATCACAGCATCACGTTCTCTGGGGTGGGCAGATGAGGCAGGTGGCGAGAGCTGTTGAACCAGTCACACCATGAGCAAGTCCCTATGGCCTTCACCATCTAACACCCTGTTGCAATTTTGAAGTCCTTACTCTGTGTCATATCTTGTTGTTGTTATTATTTTTTTTTCCTGTGAACTTTCAGTGTCTCATTTGCAATGCTGAGCATTTGCAAGGTGCTCTGTAGAGAGTGTGTGAAAGGATCAGGGAATTGTATATGACAGCCAAGCCTTAAAAGCATCTTTGCCTTCTGATTTCTTCCTGTAATGTTAGATATTCCACTTTGCTTTTTCTGTAGCCCTGCTGTTTGTGGCGTTTGCCCTCTGCATGTTTTGCCTGTACAGCTTCATGCCACTCGTGATTAAAGTCACCAGTGCCACCTCTGTGAACTTGGGCATCCTGACAGCTGACCTCTACAGTCTTTTCTTTGGACTCTTTCTGTTTGGCTATAAGGTAAGCAAATAGATCATGTTCAAAGAGGAACACTTGCTTGGTCTAAAAGAAGTCATGGGTGTCTTTACTAGTTTAGATCCAAAAATAAAACCTCATCTTTTTTTGGCAAGAATCTCATTGGACGGTCTGCACTCCAGGCAAATAGCATCACGTTCGTATTATAATAAGAGTTTTGATGCTCCAGACTTCTGTAAGGGTCTTGGGGACCCCCAAGGTCTTGGGAGCGCCCTTTGAGAAGTGCTGCATTGGAAGTCCATCTTTCTTTAGTATACCTTTGGTAAATGCTTGTTGACGAGTTTGCTATCCCAGTTACTTGAACAAATAGCGAGAATGTTGGCTGTTGCTTGATAATTTTAGTTTCATTTGGGGACAGCAACTACATTTCTTACAAATAGTGAGAATGTTGGCTGTTGCTTGATAATTTTAGTTTCATTTGGGGACAGCAACTACATTTCTTTGTCCTTGTAAAATTTTGTATCCAGGCAGAAATTGCTTGGCACTGATTTACACTGTTCCCAGGAATTGGCCATGAATGCACAATGCCTCATTCAGTGGGGTCTCAGAAATTTCTGCTTAAGAAGCACGAACCATTTTGCCTTGCCATGTTACATATGAAAGGAACTGGGTGTTATCTTTACAAACCTGCTGGTTAAGCTATTCCTGAACTTAGACCGAAGGAGTATTTATAGCTTTTTGGTTGCATCATTAAAAAGTAACAAATGTCAGAGTGAATCAGAGAAGTGATCTGACATGCCTAGATTGATTGATTGATTGATTGATTTTTAATGAGAACAGTTGCCAAGGGCTACAAAGTGAGCCTTACAAGTGAGTTGTGGTGCTGTGCTTGCATTTCACATGGCCGCCACTAGGGGGTGATGGTGTTTCTATTCTGTAGTTAAGCTTAGTGGTTATAGGTTATCTGTGTTAACATACGACCCCACTCACCTGTGCGTTTTTCTTTTTAAACCAGGTCCATTGATTTAGCTTTAGTAGTTTAACTTCTTCTAAGTAAAATAGTATCCAAGTGGGAAGGAGGAACTAAGGTTAAAGAAAGAAAAGCTTTAAAAATACACCTGCTGCTACCCATTATAAGCTCCCTTCGTGTAGATATTTGCCCTTTAACTGCTCTTCACTTTAACATGAAAAAGCCTTTTGTATGTCATTTTTTTGACCACATAACTTTAAACTGCTATTCTCCAAATTAGAGCATGTGAACGTTAAATTCCTTCTCCGTTCTTTTACTTTATGTTTCTTTGTCCCTGCACGTCTAGTGGCTCACTCTTAACCCAGATCAGATTTGATTGTTTTTGTTCAAAGGCTGTTTCAAGACTTGTAGAGCAAAGAGTGGGTCTGCTGTGATCTTCAGAGTAAATTACAGAGGTGGAAAACCATTCAGAGCTTAAAGAAGATACCTAGCATTTTATTTTATTTTTTAATTTTTAAAAAAGATTTTATTTATTCATGAGAGACAGAGAGGGAGAGAGAGAGAGGGAGGCAGAGGGAGAAGCAGGCTCCCTAAGCAGCAGGGAGCCCAACATGGGACTCGATCCCAGGACCCTGGGAACATGACCTGAACTGAAGGCAGACACTTCACTGACTGAGCCACCCAGGCACCCGATACCTAGCATTTTAGAAGCAGTTTTTCGAGACAAAATTATAAGTCCAATATACCACCAATTCTTAAAATTGTAGTTTCTAAAATAACTTTGGTTCTGCGTTTTAAAATTGACAGTTGAAAGAATTTTAAAAATTTCTGCACTCCTCATTGTCAGACTCTGCCTCCACTGGAATTGATCTTGAGTAAATACTTACTGACCAGAGTAGCCGCAAGAAACTTCCAGTGTAGATCCAGACACAAAGGGCAGAATTTAAAAAAAAAAGGGGGGGGAAGAAGAAAGGTAAAAGTAAGAGCCTCTAATTCAGAAGACTTACCTCATTCCCTCAGAGTCTCTCCCTTCTAAGAGAGTGACTCCATTTGATCACCTGCTTTTTAAGAGGAACAAGACACTTTTTCTTCTATACACTTAAAAACCAGAAGACTCACAGAAGCTCACAGCTGGAGATGATCAGCACTGTACATAATACTCATTTCAAAACCTGTTTAGTTCCTCCTTTTACTTTAGGGAGCGTATCTGGTTTTTCCTTCTCTCTCTCTCTCTCACATCTCCTTTCTCAACCTGTTGTGTTTTCTTATTGTTTTTCTTTGTCATCTTCTTATTAGAACTCTTTTTAGGCATTAGAACTCTTTGGGGGCATACTATGAAATCTAAATGAATTTAAAAATATTTATTGGCTTGAACAAAATATCATGCTCCGTTCTTTTTTTTTTTTTTTTTAAAGATTTTATTCATCTGAGAGAGAGAGAGAGCACGAGTGGTGGGAAGGGCAGAGGGAAACAGAGAGAGACACTCCCTGCTGAGTGGGGAGCCCTACGCAGGGCTTGATCTCCTAACCCCGAGATCATGACCCGAGCAGACGTCAGACACTTAAGCGACTGAGCCACCAAGTGCCCCAGCATTCTCTGTTCTTAACTTTAAAATCAGGTTAGCAGGACTGTTCATAAATTTGAATTTGCTTGTTCCATGAAAAATAAAATGATCCTAGGCATTTAATTACACATTCATTATGCTACATAGTTTCCTTAAAATTTACCACATCATTCTTGGTCAGTCTTCAGCTCTTCTCTTCCTGTGTTTTATCTTTCATGCTGTTAAAAACAAATATTAATTTCCTTAATACCTGAACTTTTGTATGGATCCTTGATTCAAATAAGAGCAAATATACAGAATGCATCATATTATTTATTTAAACTTTGGGGGTGTGTCAGAATGCTGTTTTCAGTAATAATACACAATGAATTAGTGTCTTGTCTTCACTGCAGTTTGCTCTGGGTGGTTGTTTTCCTAAAAAAGGGGGGGGGTTGGAGAAGGTCACCAGGAACTCCATGCATCCTTGTGGTGTGTCTGTCAGAATGGGCTCTCGCTACAGTCAGTCCCTCAGGGAGCCGAGAGGGTGGGAGATTCCTCCTGCAGAGCTCCGTGCCCTGTGCCTGTCCGACTGCTCTTTACACCACTAACCTCTTCGGGTTTGAGACTTTTCCGAAAAAATGACGTCTTTCGAGCTCTAAAGACCTTATCTGCTAAGCCCACCATAAATCTGATTGTGTAACCCTTGTCTCCTGAAAGAAGATAATTTATTAAATTTTAACAAACTGGATTTCATTGCATTAGCATACACGGAGGGTTGTGGAGAATGTGTCATATCTGTACATCCACATTTTATCTTAGGTCCAGTGTTTCTCTGTTTCATAGCAATATTATAAACGGTGCTTAGGGTCTGAAATTGGCTCTCTCATGGATGGTAGCCATGCTGACCTTTGATTCTCCCCGCAAAGTGGGGCTGGCTGCAAGGTGGAAGTCCCGCTGGGCGTATCACAGAGAAAGGCAGGAGTTCCACTTCCTAGAGCTCCAAGGGTCCTGTTGGCTGATGTGGCAGGTGTTGCCTGAGCCTGTGCGTTCACGGTACACGCGCCGGCGGGTTTGGGGGCATTGGCATCTCTTTGGAAGCTTCCAGAAACAAAGATGACGAGAAGCTAGCTGACCCTCAAAGTGTGGCGGGCAGGGGGGGTAGCCGTCAACATGTGTTTGCCAGAGACCACAACCCATCGCCCGTTCTCCCCCTAGTTCTCCGGGCTCTACATTCTGTCCTTCTCCGTCATCATGGTGGGCTTCATTCTGTACTGCTCTGCCCCGACGCGCACGGCGGAGCCCGCAGAAAGCAGCGTGCCGCCCGTCTCCGGCATCGGGATCGACAACCTAGGGCTGAAGCTGGAGGAGAACCTGCAGGAGACCCACTCAGCCGCCTTGTAGCTACAGAGGAAGGCGCCTGTGCTTGTGCACCCGAGGCTTCCCCGGAAACCGGGAGGCGCCCCTGGAGGCAGCAGACCCTGCTGACGGCAGAGGGGACTCGGAAAATTATTAGGGGAGCGAGCACTGCAACTTTGGATTGGATCCCAGTGGTTAGATTTTGCAAAGGAATAGAAAGTAGTGTATCGAAGCAGAAATACGAAAACAGAGCAGAAGGCAAGGTGGCTGGGATCATGTTTCTGTGGGTTTGAGGACCAATACCTGCTCGGGTCAGGGAGACAAGGTGTGCCCCACACTGGGGTCTCAGAGACACCCGTGGGAAAGCGTGGTGGGGCCGATAGCCAGGCATGATCCAGCCTCAGGGCAGGGCCTGCGAGCAGGCTGTCCAGGCTGGGCTGGGCAGTCAGGAGTGGGGGCAGCCCAGGGTGGTTTGGGAGCTGCTTCCCATGGTTGGAGGCCTCTGGGTTTTGCCTTGCCAGGGTAGTCATTGTCCACAAGCCCTGTGGTCTTCACGCCACAGTGAGGTCTGGTGACTGATTGCATATGGCAGCAGCATGGGTGGGGTAGCCCTTGAGAAATCCTGAGATACCAGTGTGGGTACCATTGAGGCAGGAAAGAGGGGTGGTGCAGTAAACCTGGGGACCCTCTCTCTGTTCTTCAAAGAGGATACTACACTACTTCTCACCAAGTATTTGTAATGTGCCATGAAATTTTTATGATACTTCTTCAATACAAAGTGCAACTATGTAGCATCATTATGATATTAACTACCACTCTGCCACTTTACAAAAACTGTAAACGGTATGTAAACTTTTCTTTAATGTAATAAATAAATCGAGGGGAAGTGTTCATGTTATTAAAAGATTTTGATTTCATGGGAATACATTCGTTGTGTGGTTTCTTGGATTAACCTTTTCCCCTTCTGGATTTTTAAATGACTTAATATATTCAAGATTTCTTCATATCCAACTTTTCAGAACCATGTCTTCTGGAAGGTAAGGCAGACCTACCTGGGCTTATGTTGGGATGGAGGGGAATTCATAGCGAGCCCACAGGTCATTTGCCGGAAGAAACTTTTTAAAATTCTGAATTACTTTAATTTTTTTCTTTTTTCTTTTCTTCTTCTTTTTTTAAGTTTTTTGAGTGAGATAATTTTTTATTCTCTGCAGCCAATTAAAACTGATACTTGATTTTTGCTGTGTACCATTCACAGCTGCCAGTGAGTGGAAAAAGGTTGGGTTACCGTGTTTGGCCTTTGGGGCAAGACTTTCATTTTGATTAACATGTTATTTCTTAAAATATCCTGCTTAAGAGCAAACGTGTATACACAGGGTGAAGTGGAGAGCCTCAGGTGACAGCCTCCCACATGTCTGTCAAGTCTCAGCTCAACTGTCATCTCTTTCTCTGAAGCCTTTCTCAGGTTTTCCAGGCCAGGCCCCCTCTCCTCTAGGTTCCCAGGACCCTTGTTCATATCTTCTTTGTTGCACTTATTGGGTGCTTGCTGTTTGTCTGCCATTCCTCACCACCGGTTGAGCTCTTCAAGGTCAACTGTGGTCTCTATTCATCTTTCTAGACCTTTTGTCATCTCTCTTCTTGGGCATTTATTTATTTTTTAAAAGGTTTTGTTTATTTGAGAGAGAGAGAGCAAGAGAGCAAGCACGAGCAGTGGGGAGGGGCAGAGGGAAAGGGAGAAGCAGACTCCCCTGTTGAACAGGGAGCTCGATGCGGGGCTCAACCCCAGGACCCCGAGATCATGACCTGAGCCGAAGGCAGACTGAACTACCCAGGCGCTGCCTTGGGCATTTATCAAATGAACTTTGTCTTTGGCCCCAGTTCAGAACATTTAAGGGGAGATTGACCTAAAGCAAGGTGTTTCATGCAGATACATGTGGGCAGTATTATCTTACCCTGCTTGGCTCTTTCCACCCTCCCCCCCTAAACCTGGTGTTTTTTCTACTCACCTGCTCCCTCTGGAGAGGGGCAAAGGAGGTCAAACCTGAGCATCCTAAATTAAAACTTAGAATTCAGTGTTCCAGAGAAGCAGTGCTGTGAGTGACATTCAGCAATTAAATAATAGTACCGCAAAACTGCATCCTGGTTTATACAACTTTGTAAAGACGGAGAGTTTCACCAGTCTCTATAATACCACTTCCATGAAAAATGTATTTTCAAACGTCTGGCTCACATACAAGCTTTTGAAACATAACACGTTCTCAAGTTGAGAACCTCCCGTAAATTCCTTTCCAGCCTATTAGAACAATATTGATTTTTCAATATTTTCTTGTAGATATTCATGCCATTAAAAAAAATACTGAATAGTATAATAGGGCTGCTGGGTTGTTCCCTCGTGTTGTACAGAGGTAATACATTGTGCATTTGGACTGCGGTTACGCAGACGAAGAGAGGGCTTTGCGGGGGTCATTCTCACTGTTTGCACTTTGAAACTAAGTTCTCTTGCAGACCGTGAACATTTCTCACTTTTCTGGGACCCAGGGAATTTGTGTGTGTCATCCATGGTGTTTCCAGGAGGTGCCACTTTAACAGGTGTAACAAACAACTTTGACCTAAACCGTCCTCTTTCATTTTACAGCTTCTCCATAATGTCCTTTTAAAAAGATTTTATGCATTCATTTGAGAGAGAGAGAGCGAGCATGAGCGGGGACGAGGGGCAGAGGGAGAGGGGGAAGCAGGCTCCCTGCTGAGCAGGGAGCCCCACACGAGGCTCGATCCCAGGACCCCAACATCATGACCTGAGCTGAAGGCAGACACTTAACCAACTGAGCCACCCAGGCGCCCCTCTAAGAAGGTGTTATGATGACTGCCCTCAGCAGGGATTGTCTTTGATGAACCGCTGAAGGATGGAGCTCTCAGGAAAGGTTGGTCCCCGTGGTGAAAACGGAAGCCAGGATTCCTTACCGCGTGCGGCTGTTGAAACACAATTCTGCGGGGCTGGGCTTCCCGACTGCTGAGCCAGCACATGCGTCTTGGGAGAGGAGGTGGGAAGATTCTCGTGTAAAACCCAGCTTGTTAGTGCAGTTGTCCTCGCAGCCCTGGAGCCTGCCCTTTGAAACAGCTGTCTGCATCTGTGTCTGAGGTCTTCTGTATGCCTAGCCACGATTCTCTCCTCCATCATTATTATGGTGATGTGCCATTTTCATCCACATTTAATCACTTAGGATCTGGACATATCCTCAGCCCTCAGAAGATATCCATAAATCAGGGAAATTCAGCAGATAGCCACTTAGCTGATTAAAAGGCAAGAGATTTATGAGGAAATTAGGTAATGCTGAACATGCAGTTTTCCAGTAGTCTTAGAAAGGGCGTTTTGAGCCGTCCTGCAATCTGGAGAGGTATCAAGGGGAGTAAAGACTCTTCAGAACAGCAAAATTTTACTTGAGGGTTTGTGTCCCAAAATGTCTTCTCCTAATGCTTTTGTCATGCACTTTATTCCTTGGTTTCAATATTGCCTTCTTAGAGCAATTGTTTTTTGTTTTGTTTTTTTTAAGATTTTATTTATTTGAGAGAGGCAGTGGGAAGAAGCAGAGGGAGAGGGACAAGCAGACTCCGCCCTGAGCATGGAGCCCAACACAGGGCTCCATCCAAAGACCCCAAGATCACAACACAAGCTGAAATCAAGAGTCAGACGCTCAACCAACTGAGCCACCCAGGCACTCCTCGAGCAATCTTAAAGTGCAGATACTTTTGGAGGAGGAGGAAATTTAGGTTGGAAGGGAAAGAGAAGTGATACAAGTGATACCAAGAAAAAAATGTAGAAGTCATTTGAACAATTGTTGGCTCCAACTGACCATAACAAGTATTCAGATGGTGCCAAATGGTCATCCCACGATCACCTGTTACTAGCCATCGCTTGCCCAATGGGGAGGCTGATATGATGGCGGGAACTCACAGTGCGAGAAGCTGGAGTTTCCATGCGGAGTTCCACCTTCCTTGACCACAGATGTTACTTTCGTCCTGCTAGGTGACTGTGCTTTTCCACTTTTGCCCGAGTATTTCCCATTTTTTCGTTCCTTCAGGTTTCTTTTCTGACTTTGGTCTTGTGAGCCCATATGAGACCTCATCCATCTTGATCTTTGTGAAAAGGCTGCTAGTTCAGTGCATGTACTACCTTTACATACGGGGACACAGACCCACCACTGTCACCAGTAACACCAACCCCGTCCCCACCCTGCACTCCAATATCTTATTTCTCCAGAAATTGCTTTGTCGATAAGATTGATTGCAGTTGCTTCGGGGAATCTGCCCCCACCCTTGACACACACCTAGAGGCGTTCCTGTAGAGCTTCACTTCCCTAGTCCATCTGTTGGTTGAGAGTAAATGGTACCTTTACTTGCCCACAACTGGTATACAACATTTATTTGGTCTCTACTGTCCATTTGGAGGATTAGACGGGAGGGGGAGAGCCGAGGCCTGATTCCTGATCTGCTCGCTAAAGTGTGAGCCATGCCAGAGCCGGGGGTTGTGGCTCAGTTGAGAGGCACATCTGGCTACAGAGAGGAGTGTACTTCCCCGAGGACTCTTGGGTCATGATACACGAACATGGTTCATGCCCCTGTCTCATTGTGGGGAGCAGAGCAGGAAGACTCTAGGTCAGGCCAGGAGACTCCGTCTGGGAGACTTATTTGTAGAGAACAGGGCACTTTCTAAATCCCTGGAGTTTAGTGACTGCATGCTGATCTCCTAGGGAGAAGGCTGGCTAGGTTATAGGAGGATACTCACATAGATCCCCAAGATATCAAAGCCTGGGACAAGAAGAAACTAAGAAAGGTCAGAGTCCTGGGCCCCTGGTACTATGGATGGCACCACAGGGCTTTCAAAAATTGGTTTGTAGAATCAATATCTAATGTAAGAAAATGGGGATTCTATGAAAATACTGAATTTGAGGTCTACCTTCTTCCTTATATTGCTAATTTACCTAATTACCAACCCATGTGAATATTTTACCCTTCTAATGAAAGTGTAAGATCTATACGGACAGATCTTGCCCTACTTTGTGGCAAACTGAAAACTTGATGGAATGAGAAAGTTCATAAACACACACTTTGAAACATTCAACACGCCACCAAACATACAGCCTTAAAAATAACAGGGATTCAGTAGTACTGCATTTCTGTTTGCTGATCACGTGTTTCTCAGATTCTAGTCAGCCTTTGACTTGTGAAGTACTATTTTTGGTTTTGGAAAGTAAGTAATAATTCTATGATAGAAAAAAACCCAAAGATGCTTTACTGTGCGGGATAATGCCAGATGGTATCCGTGAACTGCTCATTCGTCTTTCTCCTAGGTAGTCTCGTTCTCGGCTTCAGTGCAAATAGGACAGAACAAAGAATTCTAGAAGATATTTGGTGAGGAAATGCTGCACTAGTTGGGTGAAAAAACGCCTAGATCAGTAGGTTGTATTTCCTGTGGTTAGACAAGTGTTACTGAGAAATGACAAGCAAATTAAACAAAGTGAATAAGAGGAAATTATAATCACCCCAGTGTTAACATATGAACACTGGGGGGAATAACTATATTTGGAAGCCAGAATTTGCACGTCTGAATAGAGAACTAGCACTTTGATAGACTCTCCAAGTGACTGCTTGGGAAGAAAGACAATGGTTCTATGATTAAAAATCTGGATGATCTTGAGCAATTCTTTGCCCGTTTCTACTCATACCTCTTATTGACCTAGAAGTGGTATGTGTCTGGCAGTGTGGTAGATTGTCTTAAAACCTGCATTATTTATTTAAACTTCATAACATTCTAAGGAGGTAGATACCATTTTTTTTTTTTTAGTAGGATGTGGAGCCCAACACAGAACCTGAACTCATGACCCTGAGATTAAGACTGAGCCAAAATCAAGAGTTGGATTCTTAACCA